TTTTTAAAGTATGGAAGTCAAGATGGTCCTATGTGTTATTAAGAAAGCGAACATGCTTGTTTATGAATAACTAATACGCACGGGGTAAAGATATTAAATGAGTTATTTTCACAGACTTTGTCCGTTTAAGTGTAAAAAGCAATAGGTTTATCATCTATTTTTTACCCTTTTTTAATCAGTGTTAAGTTTAAAAAAAATAGAGTTATAATTTATTTTTCACATCTTTTAATCAACGTTTCTTTGAATCAGAACATTACATATGAGCATGTTAGGGATAACTTGTAAAATAATTAATGTATTATCTCACTAACACATTTATACTAATATAAATTTGATCTTAGTATATATATTTATTCCTTTATATAAGAAAAAACAACAATTTTACTTATTATTGTTCACTATGTAATACATAATTATTATTTTATTATAAACTTTGTTGTCATATAATGTCATTCTTATTTATAAAAGTTATAGAAGTTGTACGTCTTTTTTTCCTTGAAAAATATTTAATGCATGTTAGTATTATTTATTTATGTAATCAATTTAAAGCATGTAAATAAATATAAAATTAAATAGTGAATAAATATTTACAGAATATGCACACATGTGTTTTTACAATTTAATTTTGTATACTAATTAAATAACTTTGATTTGGCAAATGCCAAAAACTCAATCGATTCTATAATCAAGATTTTTTTAATTTGCATTATAAGGATTTATAGTTTGTTTAGGATACTCTGCAATGAAAATATATTTTACAAGAATTTTATTATAGAAATAAATCAAAATAAAAAATGATAAAAAAAACATGGTTGCCAATAATATACAAATAAATTCTTTAACAGTTAATATATTTCAATTTTAATTTTTGACCATTAGTAAAACTATTTAATGTATCTGGGAATTATCTCTAAAATGATAAATTATAGTAATTTGAGGAATAATTTATCTTTTATATATAACGAAATAAAGCTTAAGAAAAAAAATAATATTGGCAAAGATTAATTCACACACTTGATTTTGCCTGATTAATTGGAAGAAGAAATTCTACCTAACCTGTTACGGTTTTCTATAAATATATTAGATAAAAAGTGAATATTTATGGAAAAAAATTAATATTATTGTTAGAACTTAAAATATGTTGTAATATTTATCTTGACCAAAATATTATCAACATGAATCACGGAAAATCAATCATGTAATTTATTACAATGGATATCAATGAAATTGTTGCAGATATTAGTAAAATTATTTAAGAAAACAATATTTTTGATCATATATGATTTGATCTTATTTGAAAACGTGTATATAGAATCAATTAATGCATATATTTAAAAAGTTTTCAAAAAAGGTATGCATTAAATGCTTCAAAAAATGTTGACTACTATTTTTAGTAAATGGTTATTCTTATATATATATATATATATATATATTTGTTCAAAATGAGTTATTTTGATTAACTAGAGTTAAATTTGAAAAAAGGGTATCGTTAATTGTTAGTGGAATTTTAATAATTATTGAAATAATACTTAAAATAAAATAATTATTATTAGTTTGATGTAAAAGCAAGAGATAAATGATTGAAAATAATTGGACATGATAGGTAGTTAAAATTATGTGAGTTGATGAATAATGAATTAAAGTTGCTGTGATATGTAAGAATGATTGGTTTATAATATTTAATTATATAAACTAGTACGAATCCCGTGCGATGCACGGGTAAGAGATATTAATTATTATTTATAAATTAAAAGCATGTAAACAATATTTAATACAATGTACCTATATTAATTTATTGAAAATATTATATATTTAAATTGTACATAATTACATAAAAATGTCTATTTAAAATTAGTGCACAAGTCGCACGTTGCACATAACTGATTACAATATATTCATTTCAAAATATATGTCATTTCAAAAAATTTATTCAAAAATTCAACTTGACTATAACGTGATTCTATAAAATAATTATTTTGGTAAAATTTTATCATATATTTAAAAACCTATGTGAATAATAAGTGTAAATATAAACTTATTTTGTTTCATTAATTAAAAATAATGAATTTATTTTGTATAAAATATCCAAATCGAAATATTTAAGTAGTTGAGTAAAAACAATAATCAGTCACAAAATTTTTTATGCAAAAAAAGTCGACACTCCTTATCCTGCCAAAAAAATGAACAGTGCATTTCGCACAAAAATTATTTGAAATGTCGTAACAGAAAAAGAATTAAATCAAGACCTGCTAATTATACAAAAAAAAAATTAACCAGGGTTTTTTTTTAAAAAAAAAATATCGATACTCGCACATTATATCAAAATACCAGCTCATAATATTTTGTCGAAGTTACAGTAATTTTATTATGTTAATTTCATACGAAAAATTGAAACTCGCTCCTAAAAACCAATATATTGGCCTACGCATTACAGAAAAGAGTACACCGTATAGTGATCAAGTTGCAACAAATTTTCTACCTAAAACAATCACTAAATAATCTAAATAAATTTGTCCACTTTATACCATATATTGATTAATTTATTTCCTATAGAAATAACCATCAATACCAAAAATAAATTCATCCACTTTTATACCATATGTTAATTAATTCACATGATTTGAGTAATTAAGGTATTTTAAAATATGACTTAATTACTTCCTTAAATAATGAGCTGCAATTTCCATAAGTGATTATTTGATATATGCCATAAATTGTTAAATTAATTTCCCGAAATAGTAAATAGATTTTGTTGGAGGGAAATAGTTACTGTTTAAAAAATAATCAAACCCTTGATAGTAGGGTTGAGTTAAAATTGAGTTAGATTTTGAGTATGAAATAAATGTGAGCAAATTATTTCATAAACAAGCATGCTTTGGCTCATTTACATTCTTGCGGTATGATTTGTAAATAACTGCATATATACAGATCAAAGAAAGAATATTGGACTGTTACGAAATTTTGAGCAAATAATTAGGAACATGCATACTATCAGCTTATCAAAATAAAAAACGGATTCTCTTCCTTGATTTCCATAATTGACGCCAATCACATTATTTTCCAAAAGTAAATACATCTGATAAACATGAGGAGAACGTGTGAAGACTAAATGATTTGAATAACAAACTAACGGAAAATTAAGAAGAAAAACAAGTTTTTAATTTAACTTTAAATTTCAAAATTCATCCCATTCGAAAAATAGCGATCGGTGATCAGTATGCTTTGTTCGATGGTATATGAACAAAATCAATGTTTATTTTACGTTTAAAATTAGTATATGCCTAGTGTACGAACAAAAAATTCTTAGCCATATAATTTGATTTTGAAAATCTCGAACGTCGACCAAGAACACTTGATCTATCATTGCAACTCAAATTTTTATTGGGGAAATATGAGGTAAAACTATCGGTTTTACGTTGATATTTAAAATTTTAGTGGCATTGCATAAGAATATATACAATATACAAACATAACATATACAGTCTTAAAAACAACTACAGAGTTGCAGCCCGGTATACTGTAAGAATATTATTCATGCATATATACATAACATAATCGTGTTATATACATCAGAGAACAAGAGAGAAGGGGTGAAATCGGCGCCTCAACCCCAACTACTGTGACTCAGAAGCCGCGAGTCGCTCGGATCACGACCATCCCCAGAATCCCACCAAGCCCAGCGCCGTGCAACACTATGGAGGCCGACGACCGAAGACCGCAACCGGAACCTGAAAGAAAATGCGAAACAAGTCATGGGGGGCCCTCCATCACCACCTGCGCAAGCGGACGCAAGGGGGCAAAATAACCGGGAGACAGCCGTGCAGCCAAAGGACGACCACCGACAAAGCCCCGGGCAGCCGCTGTGGAAGGCTAATTGCGAGAATTCACGACGAGCAAGAGAGGAGGCGGTGACGGGAATTTAGGCATAGAGGAGGAGGCGTGTTCATGACACTTTACACCATATCGGTCATTGGAGCTCACATAACCCATAGAGAACTCGATCAATCAGACACAACTAGTAGCTCGGTTAGACCGAGTTTAGCTCAGAATGATAAATTGCGGTTCGAATGGCTCAGAATTCAGTTGGTGGAATGGTAATAAGTCCGAGAAGTGAGGACTCAACTTGATGAAGAATAGCACCAGGTCGAGTTAGGACTCAATTGATAGTCTGTTAGATGCTCGACCTGGACGTAAGATTGTTGAGTAGCATCTAAGAGGCATATTTGGCTCGGTGAATCTAGATTAGTCAGAGTGGAGGTGACCTAGCAACTCAGCACGGTCAGGAGCAAGTCGACCATCTCGATCCTGCTTATGAATGTAAGAGGATGCTTGGATACAAAATTTATAAAAAAAAAAATACTTTTTTAACTCAACTTTAACTCAACCCCACTATCATCAATATTATCAACATACTTAAATAATATCAATCAATCATTCTTACACACCACATCAACCTTAATTCACTATTCATCAACTCACATAATTTTAACTAACCATCACTTCAAATCATCTCTTCCTACTTTTACATCAAATCAACTTTAATTATTTTATTTAAAATATTATTTTAATATACCCACTAACAACAAACCATACCACATTTTTCAAAATTAACCAAAACAAACACAAAAATCTAAACAAATCAAAAAAAAAAAAAAAAAAAAAATATATCCAAGCATGATATAAAGGTTCAAACTGGGAACTAAAGGCATGTTAATTTGATTTGTTTGTAGGCAACAATAGATAAGGTTCGTGGTCAAAACAACAACCACCCTAAATAAAAAAAGGTGAGGTATGACTAAAACACTTCTTCCTTCTTTCTGGAACATTTTGAATCATTAATCACCACACACCCTTACTACACAAAAAAATTGATTTGCAGATAGAGGCTCTACGCCGGGACATCCCTGATACTATTTTGCAGATGATTGAAGTGGTCCGAAGGACTTCAGACACACTAGACCTGATTGAGATGTGTTTAGACATCAATGATATTATTTTAAATATTTATCACAATATTAATATGTATTACTTATTATATATTTTTATTTAAATTTTTATAATAAAAATATTATGTTTTATTTATCCCTTTAAAGATTAAAATATATGTTTTTCAAATAAGTGTCTTACTATGTTTGCTTATTTATGGATAAGAATCTTATGATATTATTGGTATAATAGAATGAAATTTGATAGAAATAAAATGAGTAGTTGAAGAATTGCATATTATGGAAAATGAATGAAACAGGTTTCCATTCATGTATTTGGTATGCAGAATGAATAAGACTTGAATGGAATGACATTATTATCCTATATTATCATTTATCACTACTTTTTACAAAAATAATATTTATATTAAAAGTACTTTCTTACTTGTGATAATAGTAAAATTATCTTATTTAAAATACATACCATATTTTAATAAATATACTTTTGTATTGTTACACTCATTTTATATAATAAATAAGTGAATTATGTATTTATATATATATTAACTAATACGAATATATCATTAGATAAACTCCTATAAGCATATGTGGTCGATATAATTTTTTATAATACAATTCAACTTATGAATAAATATATAATATATATGATTAAGTAAAACTAAAATAAGATCTTTCTAAACTATTTATAAATGCATTTTTTTAGTTTTATTTTTATATAACTGTTTAATATTTCTAATTAAAATATGAATAATAAATAAAAAAATATTCTTATTTATTTATTTGATTTTTTTTAAAATTTTATTTAATATAATTTAATCATGATTTATAGCATAAAATATATATTTTTTTATTAATATTTGTTAATTTTATTTTTCAAAAAACTAATTCATGAAGATATGAGAATAAGAAAACCATGCAATAATCATGGAATGATTAATCCCATGGAGATGGTTTTTTCAATTCCTATTGGAATGTTCATTCATTTCTAAAAAATATATTAATCATGAGATTAAAAAAGAGCAAGAGAATGATTATTTCATTATCATTTTATTCCTTCATATCAATCATGTCATTAGTTGCAGACATAATCAAACAAAGGTAATCCGATGTATCATGGGACAATTTTTTTGCATATAAAAAAGAGGTGAGTTTAGGGTGTGTGTTCGGATACAAATATATTCACTCAAAATGAGGTTTTTTGGTCAATCATGATTATTTTTGAAAAATATGATATGATTAGTTGTTAGTGGAATTTTGAACTTATAAATGCGTATGACATGCGTGAGTGACCTGGCTTGCTTACCGGAGAAGGTCAGTCAGGGACTTTGTCTCATCCACCTTCTAAAAAAGGAAAGAAGCAAAGAAGAATGGTAATGAGCCCTTGTCATATGTGTATCCAAACGAGCGACAAAGAAGTTCTCTTGAAGTAGTCGATTCCCACATCTGAAAGATGAGAAGTCGAAAGCGCTAACTGCTGCTGGTTATCAAAGGCATAGAGCAAGGAAGCTTTAGCTTCTGTGATCGGTTTGATGTTTGTGGCGAGGCAAGGGCGACTATTAATGGGCTTGAAGAGCAGCCTCCTTCCTTCAAATAATTTATTTGATGTAAAATAGAAGAGAGATGGTGTGAAGTGATAGTTAATTGAAATTAGGAGAATTAATAAATAATAAATTAAAATTAATGTCATGTATAAAAATAATTAATTAATATTATTTAATTATAAATTGAATATGAATTGAGTTATTTTATTTACAATCAACCTGTTAGGCATTAACTATGATTCTATGAACCCACCATTTTGAGTTCGATCCAACATATATTTTTCCGCCACGCCATTGCTTGCCCCGTGTATGAACTATCACCAGCTGCCATCTTTAGAGTGAGTAAAAGAAAGTACTACTTTTTCTTGCGTAATCTTCATCGTTGACACCGTCTATTTCGTGCTAGTTAGGTACGGCGTCTCCTCCTTAATTTTCTGTCTGGGCTTGTTGATTTTCCCAATCTTCTTGTTCTGAGTAGGAGAATTGTTCCGTTTAACATCTGTTGAGATCTTTCCGAGGTGATCAGAGGCTGATTTACTTTAGAATGTTGTTTTTTTTTCTTTCAATAAGATCTACGTCATTTATCACGGGATTATGTTTGATGCAGCCGATGAGATTTAATTTAGTGGAAAATGGATCTTTGTTTCTTATCCTTGATTCGAGTAAATCTTATGCTAATGGCAGTTATGTTTTGAACGAGATTTTATTTTTGTGCAAGGTTTTGAGGATTTGGGCGCATTTTCTTTTTCATGTGTGCTGGTTGTTGAATCTGCAATCAGGACTATGAATCTGCAAGGAAATTATAAATATATTTCTTCGTTTTGTCATTTCAGTTATCTTTATTTATTTATTTAATTTTGTGTTTTGGAACTATTTGATAGTATTTCTACTGCATTGTCATATATAGTATTTTTCTCATAACGCTTTTCCTGATTTCTTGAGCAAATGTAGTGTGTGGTGTGTAATTTAGAAGATTGATGAATTATGAGTTTGTTAAAGGAAATAAATATAAACTAGGAAAAAAGATATTCCTGACCATGATGTGTTCCTGTACTTCTTCTTAAAAATGTTGCTATATAAAAATATTCAAGGAATGATGTCAACATCAGTTGGAGTGATTGATCATTCTTACAAAATTGAAATTTGTATGCGGTATTTGTTTGGGATATGGAAGTATCTTTGATTTTACTGTTACCAAATTCAGAAATTGAGAAGGGATTTGACAAATGGCTAAGGAAACCTCACATGGGGAAAATCACATTAGTGTGAAGCCACCTCCGGAGCCTTCACCGTTGAGAAAAGCCAGATTCTTTCAGGTATCATCCATGTGTTGCCTTTAAAATATCCTTGTTTTTCAATTTTTTCTTGTTCCCATCAAAATATTTGTTTTTCTCTATGTTAAACTTCTGATAAGATCATGAGGCAAAGAATTTTTAATGTACTTTCTGTTGCTTGTTTCTCGAGATTTATTGCTGATGGTATTGATCTAGTGACATGTCATTGGCTCACTTTCAATAGTGGAAAAGAAATTTCTTTCTTACATTTGCTTCTAGATGATTGGAGTAGTTGTTTTTGTTTTTGGTGTATCAGAGATGATACTTTTCCACGTTTATCCTTTTTATCTTTTTTTTTTTCAAATAAGCAATTATTCTTTGGCTAATAAGACAAGTTTCTTTGTAATATGGATTCTCTCATCTTCTACCATGAATTCTGCAGAGATTTTCCCCGTACTTTTCTTGATGTTTGCTACATGTACGAGTGACATCGCAATCTAATGACATCTATATTGGCAGGCAAATATGAGAATCCTGGTTACAGGTGGAGCTGGATTCATTGGATCTCACTTGGTTGACAAGCTGATGGAAAATGAAAAGAATGAAGTGAGGGCGTATAGAATTTTCTTATGCATTGTTTCCCGATTATGTGCCTGCGTTATTTTGTAAGCTTCACTGGATTTTAATTCAGGTGATTGTTGTGGACAACTATTTTACTGGCTCAAAGGACAATTTGAAGCAATGGATTGGACATCCACGGTTTGAGCTTATTCGGCATGGTAGGAATTATTTTTAGTCAGTTAAGGTGGATATCTTGGATGTTAAATCCCCAACTTTTTTTATTTTGATCTGATTATCAATTTCATTACTACTTGACGTGAAGATTGGGTATTTTTTTATGGCAAAGCATTTTTAAAACCTTTTATTTGATGTATTCTTGATATTGTTGCCTGGACATTTTTTTTTTTTTTTTTTTTTTTTTTTTTTTTTTAATATTTGTCCATTTTTCAGATGTGACAGAAACATTGTTAGTTGAAGTCGATCAGATCTACCATCTTGCTTGCCCTGCTTCCCCAATTTTCTACAAATACAACCCTGTGAAGGTCAGTGATATTATGATATATATTATTTTTATTTCTAATATATCGTTGAATTATGTTTGATTGGTATTATTATTCTAACGTGTTTTCTCATGATTTGGTGTAGAACGGCACTCCGCATGTTGATTTATTCTTTTTTCCTTTCTGATGATGATACTTCTTAACAGACAATAAAGACTAATGTAATTGGGACACTAAACATGTTAGGACTTGCAAAAAGAGTAGGCGCAAGGTTTGCAAGCTCTACCATACTATCTTTTCACTTTCGTAACATTATTTGCAATGTGTCCATGACTTAACTTGTACCTTTGAATAGGATTTTGCTGACATCAACATCAGAGGTTTATGGTGACCCTCTTGTGCATCCTCAGGATGAAACCTACTGGGGCAACGTCAACCCTATAGGTATTTAAATTATCATATATTCTGAATTTGAACATGAATTTTACTTGGTTACACTTTTTTCTTTTCCAATATCGTTATTTGATGGGGCACTGCACTGCAGGTGTTAGGAGCTGTTATGACGAAGGAAAAAGAGTTGCTGAGACTTTGATGTTCGACTATCACAGGCAGCATGGAATTGGTAACATATGCTCTTATATTACAAGTAATTGCATGTTTGCATGTTTTTGGCGACTTAAAAATTGCATAATTCGCAACAGAAATAAGGATTGCAAGGATCTTCAACACATATGGGCCCCGCATGAATATCGACGATGGCCGTGTCGTCAGCAATTTCATAGCTCAAGCTATACGGTAATAAAATGGAGTTGCACTACATTACAGTGTGTGTGAGTGGCTAATAGTTTAATCTTAATTGTTTATTGCAACTGCAGTGATGAACCTCTGACAGTTCAGTTGCCTGGAACGCAGACGAGAAGCTTCTGTTATGTATCTGACATGGTATGCACAAGCATCATCTTGTTTATTGTCTGATTCTTTTATTGGATGCTCTAATTAATGTTTTGAGTGACATTATTATTTCAATTTGTTGTTCTTGAAGGTTGATGGTCTTATCCGACTAATGGAAGGAGATAATACAGGGCCAATTAACATTGGGAATCCAGGTTAATACAATCTCTCTCTCTCTCATCTTTTTAAAATAGTATAAATTGTATATATAAGAAAATTTATTTGAAACATTAAACTATTCCTTTATAACTACTGTATAATATAGCTTGATTCTTGTGTTAAATACAATAATAAACGTATTGGTATAATTCAAAATCATGATGTAAAGACGAACCATATAGATATACAACGCTGAGCATATGATTAATCACTATCAACTGAACTATTGTTAAACATGATGAATTGTTTTTATCTTGTATATATCCCGTATGCGTGTCAAATTGGAATTATGTTTGATAAATTCTACTCAAGAAATGGACTAATAACAAAAATGTTATGAGACATGAAATTCTTATCAATCCATTTTCGGCCACTCTCTTTATATTCTTTCCGATTACAAAAATTCTCCAAGACATTTCTTACAGTTTCTATAATTGCTATTCAAGTTACTGCCTCAATAGGTTGCAATTGCCATTCTTAAAAAAATAAATAAAAATTCCAGGAGAATGTATGTGTGATTTTGGAAGTTATTATTTGCTTTCTATTCTATTTGTCTCACAAGATTTGTTAAACCTGAAGGGTATAAGCATAATATTTTTACAAATAATTTACTAATTTAATTTGTGGGCTTCTTTCTGATCAGGCGAGTTTACAATGACCGAGCTTGCTGAGACTGTCAAAGAGGTTATTGAGTTCCCCAACAACTTCGCATCTTCTATTATTCGGTGTTTTAGCGAAAAGAAGTAAAAATAAAAATTCATGCGGTAATTTAATTTGTTCTTATCTTCATTCTGGCAGATGATAAATCCAAAAGTGAAAATCATAACAGTAGAAAATACGCCAGACGACCCTCGTCAGAGGAAACCGGACATAACAAAGGCAAAGGAATTATTGGGATGGGAACCAACGGTAAAGCTTAGAGATGGCATCCCACTTATGGAGGAAGATTTTCGGCAGAGGCTTGGAATTCTCAGGAAGAACTGAATAAACTCGCTTTGAGTTCTGCATTTTTAAATCCCCCATTTTTATTTTTATTTTTTGCACTCTTTCTTTTTTGGAATGCTGGAAACTATACAGTTAAAAAGGAATTTTTCTTGTCTTTATTATTTGTTCACTTATGCTAGCCTTATTATTATTATTATTATTATTATTTTTTGTTATGATAATATTGTAAGTCAGTCGAATTATGTGGCCATTGCTAAAGACCTCCCAAGCTGGGTTTCAATAACTACATGCTGGAGCAGGTTTGATATTATAGAAGCATCACCCTATTTATATGCAAAAAATAGTGCATATGGGTTTCAATAACTACATGCTGGAGCAGGTTTGATATTATAGAAGCATCACCCTATTTATATGCAAAAAATAGTGCATATCACGTGCATGATGCACGGGAAAATAATACTAAAAATTTATTTTTTAAACTTAAATAGAGTAAAGAAACATATTATTGTTATTTTTAAAACTAAATGTTGGATTAAACGATCATATTAAATTATTTTTAAAAATTAAATATTGAACTAAATGAACATATTAAATAAGTAGTTGAACTAAATGAACATTTTTGCTATTCAACATTTTTTATTGCATATACACTAAATCTAACAGAATTAATTGTATATATGTCTAAGATATCAGTTATTCTAACTCCCTTCATTCATGCAGCTTATTCATTTTTAAGATAGAGAAATGAAAACATGTATTGTAATGGTAAGAATATATATCCCAACATCTCTTACTATAAAAAAGAGGAGGTATTTACTTCAATTGGCAAGTAAAATTTCGCTTAAATTTCATTAATTGCCATTAATGGTGACTTTTTCGAAAAATTTGAAATTTTGGGTGGCAGAATTTGTTAGCAAAAAATTCAAAAATTTTTGTTTGGATTTAAATTTTGAAAAGGTGTGTAACTAGTTATAGATAAAAGAATCCAACAGATTCTAACTTCAAAAAAATATGGAAACACATTTTCTTATTTAAAAATTCAAATTCGAAATTGTGAGGAGTTAAATTTTAGATTCATTTTAAAATTAACCACTAATGTATATCTTATGTAAATAAAATTTAATAAAAAAACTAAAAACAAAGATTGTGAGGAGTTGAAATTTTAGATTCAATTTAAAATTAACCACTAGTGTATATCTTATGAAATAAAATTTAATAAAAAAATAAAAATAAAAAAGATTTTGTGGTAGCATTTTTCGAATGAAATAAATTTTGGGCGGCTGAGCGGCTGATTTTGTTAGCAAAAAGTTCGAAAATTTTTGTTTGGACTTAAATTTTGAATACGTGTATAATTAGTTATAGATAAAAAAAAATCCCACAGATTCTAACTTCCAAAAAATATGAAAAAACATTTCCTTGTTTAAAAAAAAACTAATAATAAAAATGTGTGCAAATGAGCTTTAATTATATTGAATTTGATTTTGTAATAATTAAAATATGATGAGAATAAGATTTTATATTAGTTGTATGATAAAAAAAAATAAATAATAAAGAGAAAATGATGATATAGGACAATATTCTGATTTTTCTTCTAATTTAGTCAATAAATTGGCATGAATTATACATTGAAAATAGAATATGAAAATTGGATTATTTTGTTTTGG